ACGAGAGAGCCATTCCGACGAAAGGAAGTACGTTTTGTTGGCCAAAGCTATAGAGGAAATGGTAATATGCGCCCAAGAGTTGAAACAAATGATCGATCAAGACACTACTCTTCAGCAAGTAAAAAAACAGATTTTAGAAGGATGGCAATGGTTCCGACCACAGGATCACGGGCAGTACTGTCCGTACTTCCACAGGAGTACAAAACTGACTGTAAGTGACAATTTGGTACACTGGGCTCGTCGCACTGTTCTACTTTTTAGTGTAAGAAGCTGCACACCAAAACTGCTGCATGAAACTCATCCCGATATGGTTTCCATCAAGCGTATCGCCAGAACACTACTTTGGTACCTGGGACTAGACTCTGATATTGAGCGACTGGGCAAATCGTGCTATGTTTGTGCACAGGTTTCCATGATGCCACCTGCCCAGGTAACTGCAACATGGCCAGTGAGGGAGAAAGCTGGAACTGTCTACATGCTGATTTTGCAGGTCCAGTGGATAGTCACATGATATTGGTCATTGCAGACTCGGAAACAAAATGGATCGATGTCATGAGTAAGAGGGCACCAGGCACGTGTTGAGCACTGGAATGCGGCGTCCATGCGAGAGACCACAGATGGAGCACTTATGCACCATGTTCACAGACCAAATCGGACAAGAAGGCTCGTGGCACGCGACCCAAGCCATAATGAGAAATACCGGAGGATGAGCTGTCACTGTGCTGAGGAGCTTCGAAGTGAAAAGGTCACAAAGGTGAGCGTCACTACAGCGATGGAAGCAGTAGAGCGGCCCGGCTCTGAAGGATGTCGGTGTAAGAGGCCCGGCAAGTGGTGGTCGACCTCGGAGGTCCCCAGTGAGGGTGCCCGGACATGCCGCCACCTCGCCGAGCAGTTCCTGGTGGGACTACAGCTCTGAAGATTAAAACGTCTGAGATCCCAATCAGAGCTCTACGGTCAATATTTGCACTATTTGGGCTTCCAAAAACGTTCATGTTGGACAATGAACCGCAGTTTCTGAGTGCATTCTTTCGTAATTTCTTGGCACATAACAACGTACCGCAACTAACAGCCACACCCTATCATCCACAATCTAATGGGTTAGCCGAGAGAGCGGTGCACATACTCAAGGAAAGACTAAAGAAAAATCCGTGAAAGGACCTCGTAACATGGCTGGATCAATTTTTGTGCAGGTACCGCCAAACACAGGGAGAGGATGGCAAGTGACTGGCTGAACGTTTGCTGGGTTACTAGGTTAGGACAAAGATAGACGCTATCAAGCCCCAAAAAAGTGCGCTGATGGTTCACCAGCAGCAGCTACGGGAAAACTTACTGGAGGTGACCCGATGTGGATGCGCAGTTTTAGGAAAAAGTCGAAGGTGGATTCCTGAAGTGGTGCAAGACAAGGGTCGAGGATGGTCATCATAGACTGTGCTCAACGAAGGTATCAAGAGCATCCAGACCAGCTAAGGCGCTGAGCTGAACCAATGGACAGGGATCCTGACCAAAAAAGCAAGCAAGAGCCAGCCGAAGATACCAGAAAAAGGGTGCAAGACAGCCCGGAAGAAACAGTGTTGGAATCGGCACGCTCACCGCTTTTTCGAAGATCAACCAGGCAATCAAAACCACCGAAACGTTATGACTTTTAAAGGGGGGAGAAATGAAGCGTCTGCCGTATGCAGTCTTATCAATGCACGTCACTGCAACGTAACGTGTGTTGAGTATAAAAACAAGTTGCTCAATAAATCTTCGTTCTTGTTATGTTATCTGGCTTCCGTGTTGCATCTCGATAGCGACTTAACATCAACAGAGGTTAGCATGCCTGTGTAACAAGGATATGGTACCTTTGTTAGGATGGTGGACGGGAGGCCTTCTGCAGATTTTCCTGCCACTCAACACTACGTTATTACAGATTCTACGTTGTGGAGCACTTTCTCATAGCTGTAGACTGCTCAGAAGTAAATTTTTCGCTTCAGGTGTCCCTGTATTCAGCTTTGGAGATGGTGAGTGCTTCGTGGGCGGAAATAATGGGCACATGTGCGCAAAACTATTTCTACAAGGCCGACTACCTAGATGTCTGACCAGATGCGAAGCCTGAAGCTTTCGAACAGGACCACTCCAGGAGACATTTGTGGCAGCGCGTCGTCAACTCCTACATTGCAGGGCGGGACATTCACTGGGATGAGTTAATTACGGCCAATGATGATGCTTACACTGCAGAACCATGCATGGATGAGGGCGCTGTGAATTAAGTGTGCAGCAAGAGCGATTCACAGGAATCGAATGATGACAATGATGAAACTTTGGGACCAGCGCCCAAAAACGTGCCTCTAGCAATTGGCTGCATTAATAATAGACTTGGGCGGATTGTATATGGCAAGGGCATTGGCGAAGAGCACACTGCCGCTTTAAATAAACTCGAGACTATATTTATCGCTTCTTCTGTTCCAAACACGTGCATTACGGACTTTTCTGTGTAAAAAAAAAATGTTGTGTTTTCATTTGCAACTGTTTTAAAGCAGTGTTTAATTTACTGCAAGCTTTGTGACACAGTGAACGAACGCCGCAGGCTTGACTATATTCAAAACTGTTTCCACTTCCTTGGTACCAAAAAACTGGTATTAGCACAGGCCTTGCATCAATTTTAAAAAATAATGTACAGGTTAGTTACGTCAGAACCAATGTGCCCCCTTTTTTTGTAACATGCGATACATATTACTATTTGAATTTGATTAAATAATATTTTACCAAAAACCTTGTTTGCTTTAAATCCACTTCGATCCTGAAATTCACTATTTGCACACACCTACAAAAAATTTATGAGTCTACAACATTCATATGAGAAGATGATTGCAGGTGTGACAGCCAAAGCAGCATTTGGAGCAATTTTTGTAGCAGCAGAATTTTACTTCTGGAGCACTAAAATGCAAATTTAGAGCACGTTACGAAAAAATAAAACAACCATTTTTTATCAAGAAAGCCTAAATTCAGAGCAAAGAAGGCTTAAATTTAGAAAAACAAAGTATGTGCAAGATTCCACCCCACCTAAATTATGCAGAGTAAACATGAGCACTGGTAGTTCAATAAAAGTAGTATTTCGATTTGCCCACTGAGATCGAAACAATGATGAAATCCACACTAGCACTTGACGTGTCTGTCAAATACTTTGACAGAATCCGTGAATAAAAACGTATATCTGCCAACCTGGCGACTTTAAAATTTAAGGGATTCATGAAACAGAAAAAGTGGTGGCAAAAAAAAACATGAGTTTTTTTTTTTTTTTTTGTTATACACTGCTCAAAATGATTGCCAGTAACTTTTCAGACATAAGTGATCATACTAGTGCTCACAATGATGCGATAGTGTACACGCATGAGTAATTGAATGATATGTGTTGTCCCCTGAGTTGTTCTAGTTGCCCCTTCCAAATCATGATACGCTTTTCCACAGGATACCGACGTATTGCGGCAAAGGTAGTTTAAACAGCGTCCTGCACGGGTTAGAACAAGGCCAAAAAATTTTCTAACACCGCTACCCCCCCCCCCCAACCTCTTTTTTTTTTTTTACGATGGGGGTTAGGTTTAAGCCCCAACATCTCGGCTTGCTTGCAAAGCGCGTACTACCAGATAAAGTAGTAACAACAGCGCATGCCCGTTGGTCCGGCGACAGCACCAGATATCTATCGCAGGGACAACACAACTAATGTAACGTCAATGCAGAAAAAAGTATTATGTGTCATTACTTTGGTAACCAATGACGTAGCCAGCAACACCGGCATTCGCAGCATGTTGACTCTGTTTGCGCGCGGAAAACGCGGTATGCGCTCCCAGCTCTAGTTGCTAACATGCCGTAGCGGCTTTTGCTAACTAGGAAGTTCTATTTCTTGCGCAACGTTGGTGGCAACGGCAACGCATTTTCATCTTGAAATTGCGTCGAGCGCGAATCATTATTCGTTACAGTCAGCAGACGAATGGATGCATGGCTTTGTTACTTTATTTGGTCAATCACGTCTCGCAAATGCCCTAACCTAATGAAATTAGAGTTAGCGGAATTAGGTTACTGTGGTTTAAGGTTAGAGTCTGCACACTTGGATTGATTGATGACTGAAACTGCACGTGGGCAACATGGGGGCCGTGCCTCGCGAAAGTTAACGCAACTGAAAAAATTTTGAGGCAGATTGGGCATTTTTGCGTACAGTGGCGCAATTTTAACAAATTTAGTGGTTTTGGAGCAGCTTGGCACAAAAAGGGGGAATTATATCGAAGTGGCGCAATTGGCACTGCTGTTACACCCCTTTGATTAATATCAGCACAGATTACCAGCAACGCTGTATCCACATTTCCGCTGTAGAATACACTTTGTTCATTTTTTCCAGCATGAATGACTGCAGACAGTGACGTTTCTACTCTGAGTGATAGTTGTTGAATGCATTCTGCATGGTCCTACTTTCACTATCTGTCTTTAATGCATTACCGCTGTTGATGACCCTTGCCTTCCCTACCTGTTAAAAACTTCACATAGTTTACAGCAAGAACAATGCTTCACAATACATGACATTGCATCAGATCATGCGCCCAATTTAGATGTCTATTGCATAATAGCAATGCATTTCATATTTCCTTAGTTTTACTATTTCAAAGGAGATGCTACCAAAAGGGTCAGGACGGGCGCATTAGCGCAGACAGTATAAGTCCCTGTGATCGCTTATCGTAATGCTGTTTTGCAGCACTGTCTCCTCCCAGGACACTGACATTCACACTGCTACTACGGTGGCAAAGACCAATAAAATTACCACTGGCAGTTGCATCAGCTCAAGCAGTCGTATGCTTGGCCAAGAGAAATGCGCTGTACATTCACATGGCTATATTGATTGTGTGAGTGGGCCAACGGTTATAACAAGTTACTATTAGATTAAACTCTGATATAGCCAGCATTGCAGGCATTGCAGTACCATATGGTATGCAAGGCAGAATTGACTAAAAAAAAGGAAGAAAAGTGCTCACCTTGCTTGCGTCAGATTTGTCTTCCTGCTCTTCATCCGTAAGGAAGTCCCTCTTTGGATAAGGTATGGGCACACCAGCAAACACGCTGCAATGCCAACATAGTCAACTCAACCAACTCATCCAATAACTATTGCTACAGAACGATTTCAGGTTCAAACTTTCTTTGTATAGCATGCTGCTGCACATCATGTACTCGGTATGCCCCACGAAAAAATAGCAACACTGCTTTTTATGCAAAAAATCCATCATCATCATCATCATTATTCTGACTACGCCCACTGCAGGACAAAGGCCTCTCCCATGTTCTGCCAGTCAACTCAGTCCTGTGCTTGCTGCTACCAATCTCATCTGCCCAACTAACTTTCTGTCTCCACCTCACCCACTTGCCTTCTCTGGGAATCCAGTCAGTTACCCTTAATGATCACCGGTTATCCTGCCTGGGTGCTACGTGTCCGGCCCATGTCCATTTCTTTTTCTTGATTTCAACTATGATATCCTTACCCCCGGTTTGTTCTCTGACCCACTCCGCTCTCTTCTTGTCTCTTAAGGTTACACCTATCATCTTCCTTTCCATCACTCACTGCTTAGACCACAATTTAGGCTGAACCCTCTTTAAGCCTCCAGGTTTCTGCTCCGTAGGTAAGTACCGGCAAGATGCAACTGTTATATACCTTCCTCTTTAGGCTTAGTGGTAGATTAGCATATATAATTTAAGAATACTAGCCGATGTGCTCTGCCCCATCCTTATTTTCTAGTTATTTCAATCCCGTGCTTCGGCTCGGTTACTAGCTGTAAACGTACTTTTTTACAACTTCAAGTGCATCACTACCTATCTTACAGTACTGTTATCTTCCGAGGTCGTTGTACATTACTTTCATTTTCTGCAAATTAATTTTAAGACTTACCTTTCCGCTCTACTTGTCTAATTCAGTTAGCATGAATTGATATTTGTCCTCCGAGTTACTCGTCAACGCAATGTTACAGGTGAAGCGCAGGTTACTAAGGTACTCTCCATTAACTCTTATCCCTTACTCTTCCCATTCTAGGCTTCTGAAAACCTCCTGTAATCACACGGTAAATAGCAAAGGGGACATGGTATTGTTACGGACAGAATAACTTTACTGGACGAACACACAAAATAAACACGGTGGCGGACAAGATGGCGCCCAGCTGGCTCGCAGAGTCACTCCAAGTCGTCTTCCTCCGTGTCCTCTTCATTGTTCTCGTCCCCCCATTACATGATTTCCCTTGCGGCTGGAGCACCGACCTGGTCCTAATCAGGAGACACTGGAGTGAAATGGCTTAAGTCGTGCAACATGTACTATGTCAGTGTGAGGGTGAATGATGGCGGGGTCCGTAGGGATGATTTCATTGGTGACGTCAGTTACTTGGCGTAAGACGCAGTAGGGACCTGAATAGCGTGAGAGTAACTTTTCCGAAAGTCTAAGGCGCCACGAGGGAGACAAAAGCAGAACGAGATTGCCATGTGTGAAGTGAAAGTCACGATGGCCACGTGATATGTATACGCTCTTCTGATTGTCCTGAGAGTCCAGCAGTCGTCGTCGAGCAACTTGGCGTGCCGCTTGGGCCTTCATTATTGCATTCCTGAGCGTATTCACACGTGTGATTTAGTCCAGTCGGCAGAAGCGTGTCGAAAGGTAGCACAGGGTCATGGTCGAATAACATAAAAAAAGAAAAAACCCAGCAGTGTCATGTCAAGGGGAATTGTATGCGAACGTTACAAATGGTAACGTAGTGTCCCAGTCACGGTGCTGGGTGGAGACATACATGGAGAGCATGTCGGCGAGAGTGCGATTGAGGCGCTCCATTAGACCAATTAGAACATTTGTTTGTGGATGGTAAGCCGTGGAAAGCTTGTGTTCAGTGGCGCAGGAGCACAGGAGGTCATCAACCACTTTGGAAAGGAAGTAGCTGTCTCGATCGGTAAGGAGTTGCCGAGAGGTGCCATGGCGTAGGATGACGTCCTCCAAAAGGAAATCGGCCACATCAGTTGCACAGCTGGTTGAAAGAGCCCGTGTGATCGCGTATCGGGAAGCATAATCGGTTGCTACTACAATCCACTGATTACCCGCAACTGACGTAGGAAAAGGGCCAAGGAGATCCATGCCAAAACGGTCGAATGGGTCTCGTGGAATGTGCAGTGACTTAAAAGTCCGACGCTTGGGGCATTTGGTCTCTTTTTTTTGTCGTTGACAAGGGTTGCACGCAGTAACATAATGGCAGACATCGCGGTACACACCAGGCCAGAATAAGCGCCAGCGAACTCTGTCGTAGGTCCGTGACACGCCGAAGAGACTGACTATCGGTGTATTATGAAGCTGGGCAAGAACAGTCTGATGCAATTGAAGGCTAATGCAATTGAAGAAGAACAATGAGTAGCCTTTCAGAGCCGTCAGGACGCATATTGCAATGGTACAATACACCATCATGTAACTCCAACATTCGAAGGGAAGGGTCAGGTATCACCGATGTTAGCCTTTGAATAATACCGCCCAAAAAAGCATCCCATTGCTGCTCGATTCTAATGTCGTGAAAAGTGGATAGAGAGAGAACATCGGCAGGAAGGGTGGTTGTAGAGGAGTCACTGTCCGGATGGTCGACAGGATATCGGGACAAGCAGTCGGAATCTTGATGCAAGCGGCCGGTTTAGTACAGAACTGAGTAGTCAAAAGGCGCAGCGTCCAATGGCCATGACGGCCTGAAGGGTCTTTCAGGGACGAAAGCTAGCACAAGGCCTGGTGATCAGTGATGACTGCGAATGGCCGACCGTACAAATATGGATAAAATTTCCTGACTGCCCAAACAAATGCCAAACATTCGCATTAAGTAATTGAATATTTTCTCTCAGCAGGCGAAAGAACGCGGCTGGCATAGGAAACCACACGGTCGCGTCCTTGCCGTTTCTGTGCCAGGACTACACTGATGCCATAGCCTCTTGCGCCGGTACAAACTTCTGTTGGAGCTGAGATGTCAAAGTGAGTGAGGATAGGAGGAGTAGTAAGCAGCCACACTAGATTTCAAAAGCATCTGCTTGCTCAGGACCCCACATGAAGCCAGCGTATTTTTTCAGGAGTTGAGTGAGAGGGCGTGCGACATCGGCCAAATTTTCAACAAAGCGGCGGATGTAAGAACAAAGGCCAAAGAAACAGCCAACGTCTTTGGCTTAGGTTGGTACAGAGAAATGTTTTACTGCCGTATTTTATCTTGATCTGGGTGAACCCCTACAGAATCAACGAGATGTCCGAGCACGAAATATTCACGACGGCCGAAGTGGCACTTTGTTGAATTGAGTTGCAGTACCGCCGTAAAAAATGCAGATAAGATTTTCGATAGGCTTCCAAGGTGCATCGGTAAATAAGGGGAAAAAAGAATGATGTCGTCCAGGTAGCACAGGCAGATGGACCACTTGAAGCCGTGCAGGAGGGCGTCCATCATGTGTTCAAGCGTGCCTGGCGCATTGCATAAACTGAATGGCATCACTTTAAACTGGTAAAGACCGTCAGGAGTGATAAATGCCGTCTTCTCATGGTTCATATCATCAAAAACAATTTGCCAGTACTTAGAGTGAAAGTCGATGGAGAAAAAATATTTTGCGTTGTGAAGGCAATTCAAGGCATGGTCTATGCTTGGCAAAGGGTAGCTGTCCTTCTTCATGATCTTGTTTATATGCTTATAATCGACGCAAAATCTCCAGCTTTTGTCCTTCTTCTTGACAAGTACAACAGGGGACGCCCATGGACTGCAGGAAGCTCGATGATATTCCGAAAAAGCATTTTGTCGACCTCCTGTTGGATGATGCACCGCTCAGCATAGGAAATGCGGTAAGGTCTCCGATAGGTGGGACTCTTATCGCCTGTATCGATCCGATGCTTAAGCACTGATGTCTGGTCGAGGGGGCGGTCGCCAAGGTCGAAGATGTCCCAAAACGATGCAAGGGGGGAACGTAGGTCCTTAGCCTGTTCGGTCAGTAAGTCGGGTGCCATCATCTTGGTTAACACAATTTGGTCTGATGGAGGAGTAGGCGAAGTTTTCTCTGCACTTGGGATGCTGTCATGACTTAGAGTGCAAATATGGCAATCTGCCACCAGCATGATTTCAGCGAGATATACCACAAGGAAGGACTTGTGTACATAGGCCGAAATTCACTAGTCGTAAGCAGGATGCATTGGCCATTATAGAGATGACGATGTGAGGAAATGCATTGTTGTGCGAAAGCAGAACGTCAACATTGGGGGACACAATATAACCACTATCTGGGACAGCTGGAACAAAGGAGACACATATTTAAGCAACTGCTCGTTGAGGAAGATGCAGGTGTTCTGTGGAACAGAGCCGACTTAGAGGGCAATTGGAGGATCAACAACAATAGGTAGAGCGAGTTAACTATACCGGCAGAACAGTCTATCAAGACTGAATGTTCAAACAAAAAGTCATGGTCCAAAATTATGTTGTGAGGGCAATGTTTTAAAACATAAAACAGAACTGATGTGTGATGTCTGGCGACGCTGACACGAGCTGAGCACAGACCAATCACGGCGTCTGTTCCACCATTGGCAGTTAGGACCACAGGAGTTAGGCCAGGAGTAAGGACTTTCTTCAGCCGTGTTCTAAGGTCAGCATTCATGATAGACATGTGGCGCTAGTGTCAATGAAAGCCGTAGTTGGCACACTGTCGACATCAAAATTACTTAGGTTTCCATGTGTGGGCAGGGTCAGTAGAGGATTTTGGCATCGGGTCAGTTTGCAGCATCACCTCCAAGAGCTGCTCTCATCAGTTTTCCGGAGGTGAGCACTGAAAAGAGCTTGGGGGCGGCAATTGATGAGATGGGGGCGAGTGGGAGAAACGACACTGCAGTGAAGGCGAGCCGCTAGATTGAGGGGGCAAGGAAATGTCAGGCGTCAGCTGCTCTGTTTGCGGTGACGAGAGTGAATTCCAGGCAGGTGGGCGAAGGTGGATGGTGAGGCCACAAAGCAGAGTTGAACCAAGCATGGCAGTGGCGCGAAATGTGGCCTACATGACCGCAACTGAAGCATATCGCCCGATCGTCTGAGGTGTGCCATTCC